TCCAGTTTGGTGCAATAGGCAGGTAACATGAGCCTGGAGGTACAGAAGGAGATGAAAAAACAGCAATGACGCACATCTGACTTTCAGCTTTGATTACAGACGAGCAAGAAAGACAGGCAGGAGGGCTCATAACCCTCATTCGTCCAGGAGGAAGGCGGGGCATGGTGCTCCTGGAGGCCCTCCGGGGACCCACCATGGCACCGTTACCCAGAGAGAGAGCCAGGGCTGCCAGAATACAGAAGATGCTTTTCATTAGTGCTGGTTGTGAGTTCTTTCATCTGCAGCTCTTTGATATGACGGCCGGATGAGAGCACATTATGAGCTATGCTTAATGCCCAGGAGGTTCTGTGGTACATACATTGAGCGTGAACGTGTGCACACTGCATGCGTCTGTGTCAAGGTTATCATGGTTAGAAGAGCTGAGAATTAAACAAGGCAGCAAGTGAACATATTTGATGATGCAGCACTCAGAAGGTATAAAGAATAATAGAACAAATGTACAGTAAAAAGTGGTTGAAACAATTATTTTATTAATACGATTGAATTCAGCTTTTATTGTCATTGTGCTGAGACAGCAACATGCTGTTAGCATCTTATTAGTAGAATTCACAGTAATATAGGGAATACATGTAATGTAGAATTAAGATCAATACAATATGAATGTATGCAGGAGTTATAGTATATAGCATAGGTATAAATAGGGTTTTGTAGTAACATTTAATGTAACAACATTAATAACTTACAAAAAGTCAAAGTAACAATGGTATTACATTATTACATTACATGTTACTTGTTAGACACTTTTATCCAAAGCGACTTACATACTCAATACTGTGGACAATCCCCACAGGAGCAATTTGCGGTGAAGTGTCTTGCCCAGGGACACACCGACATGCTGACTGCAGTGGGGTTTGAACCTGTGACCATCTGATCCCAACACCAACGCACAACCCACTGGTATAAAACACAAAATGATATTCCCCTCTCACATTTACAAATGATACCCTGCTGATCGTAGTAAAACAAACGTTAATCAAACCTGATAGAAAGAAAGTGAAACTATTAAAACCATATTGTTGTTTTCTTTCCAATTGATTATCACCCAATCATTGGTGATTATTTTAATATTTCTGTTTTCAAATATCCAGCATTTACAGTCTGGTGTTTTTGATGCCTGGATATAAAATGGGCATACGAATACAATAACAACTTTTATCTTCCATTGGAATATTTCCGTCTCCTTGCCGTGAGCACATAGTGAGCTGCTTATTTTTAAAAACATCTCTGTGTTTAAAAACTGTGCACATGCCTGTTTGTGTGGAAACCCTCTGTTTCCATTGCACTTATTCTCAGTTTAGTTTTAAAAATATATGCCACCTTTCCAACAACTTAATCCAAGCATAGATGCTTGTTTTGAGATTATTATTATTTCCCAAATATTTCCAGTCTTTTGTTTTTGATGCGTAAATCTAAAACAGGTTTAAAATAAAGACATTTTCCACCATCACCACCATTTTCACAGCTATTGCAAAGTGCCTTTTTTACAGGTTGTACTGTTTGTATAACTTGAATGCGGGGGACAAAACATTTGTGTGAAATGAAGTTCAAACCATCTGCTCCTTTCTTTTCAGTGAGAATTGGGGAACCATGTGTGATACAAGCTTTAAAGCATCTCCCCGTGCACCTGTTATGTCTGAAAAGCAGGTTTTGTAAAAGCGACTCTTTTTGCATGCAGACACAAAACCCATTTCCTGTATTGTGCTGATAATGCGGATACTCTGTTACTGTGTTGCAGATAAACTGGACAGAGAAGAGCTTGAATTTTAATTAAATTCAAATCACAGAGGCAGGAAATAAAAAGGCTGTTTGCAGGTAGTTCTTCAGTCTGCAGCCTCGCTGTCTCGTTTAATGTGTGTTTGTTTTATTGACCTTGTCAGACGGATGCTGAGTGGCCCGGTGATGGACAGCCGGTCGGCTCCTCTGGGTTCAGCTGACTCCTCATTTTGTGTCTGCTGGTTGCACTTTCATGCTCAGCACATAGTGTTGGTGTCTGGAGCCACTTTCCCTCTGTCACTGCGAGATGATCCTTTCTATTTAACTGGCTTTGATCAGAGGTGGAAGAGATACTCAGACACGTAACTTGCACTGAACACAAATATAAATGCAACACCATTTCTCTCAAATATTGTTCACAAATCTGAAAAAATCTGTGATAGTGAGCACTTCTCCTTTGCCGAGATAATCCATCCCACCTCACAGGTGTGGCATATCAAGATGCTGATTAGACAGCATGATTATTGCACAGGTGTGCCTTAGGCTGGCCACAATAAAAGGCCACTCTGAAACGTGCAGTTTTGCTTTATTGGGGGGGTCTGGGGGGGTCCGAAAACCAGTCAGTTTAACCCTAACCCTAACCCTAACATGTCACCCATTGAGCATGTTTGGGATGCTCTGGATCGGCGTATACGACAGCGTGTTCCAGTTCCTGCCAATATCCAGCAACTTCGCACAGCCATTGAAGAGGAGTGGACCAACATTCCACAGGCCACAATCAACAACCTGATCAACTCTATGCGAAGGAGATGGGTGACATGTTAGGGTTAGGGTTAGGGTTTAACCCTAGGGTTTTTCTAAATCCATAAAAGCATTTCAATTAATATTGGGAGTCATAACGTTACTTTGTTGAGAATGTGGCCATGTAATAAGCGGGATAATGTGCAGCGACTTGGTTATTATGGGGAAAAGAACACATTCATGCCGATCTAAATCCCTCCGCTTCGCGTCGGGCTCCTAATCAGCCTGTCGGTGTTCTTTTAAGCAATCATGCACGAGAGGCCGTTCTTGAACATCATTATTACCAATAATGACGTTCAAGAACGGCCTCAAGTGTATGATTGCGATTCTATTACACAAACTATCATTGTAATCAACAATATCGTAAAATAATTTCATAATGTGGGCTAATTTGCTCCCAAACCTACGCTTTCTGCTTGAGTTAATCTCCGTCAGAAAGTAGTTCCTAGAAAGTAGTTCCCATGGTAACGATTGACAGCCCAGGTAGTTGACGCCAATGTACTCTTTTCGTTGCGACTTTTTTCCAACACACTCAACTCGTCAGTTGAAACAGCCGCAAATCTTTCGTTGGTTTTGTGGTCTGTGTCCATGTCCAACCATTCATCAATACTGAGGCCCCCCAACAAATCAAAATTAACTTTAAAATCTGACATTTTGTAGCTACCGATTTCCAACGAGAGACAATGTATAACAGTGTAACGGCTGTGTGTCGCTAAATGTCGCTATGGAAACCACACGATGTAGGCTCATGGAAGTAGTTTCGGTAGGCTAGTGGCGTGTGTAGGCCACTGGATACTTTGTGATTAGGCACGTTCTATTTGATCGTTGTTTGATCGTGGAATCAAACACGCCTTTTGACCAATCAGAGAGCTTGCTCAAACCTATGTTTTATAGAATTCTCCATAATGACCGCGTCGCAGCACATTATCCCTTACGTAAACTATGGCAATTGTTCTGAATAGTTATATCACTGGATTATAGTTAATGATCCATTAATGTGTGCATCATTTCACATTTTGCAGCTGATAAAGTTGGAGCAAACTTTGCCTTTTTTTACATCATGGTATCTTTCATCCATAGCAGTATATACAAAGTCATTATGAGATTCTTATAGTTTGTTATGATCATTTTAAAGGGGTCCTATATGCTTTTCTAGGTCTTCTCTTTCCTGTAGTCGGGTGTATATAGATTGTTGTGCATGTAAATGGTCTGCAGGAACACAGGGGATTTGAATACCCCCGCCTGAAACGACTTCTTTGTTTACGTCCGCAACATAGTGACATCACTATGTCACACTAGCGCTTCTATTGGCTAGCGCTCCAACACATTGAATGTAATAGGCTAAGGGGCGAGACATCTATAAGCGGTTGACCAATCACAACAGAGTTGACCAGCTAACTAATCAGAGCAGACTGGGCTCTGGTTTCAGACAGAGGGTGAAAAGAGGTGCTGCAGCACAGGCAGTATGAGAAAAGTAAAGAGCTTTTTGAACATTAAAGCATGGAAACATGTCAGAGTAGAGACACAGAATACAATCATGTCACCTGAACTTGAACATAATTGCGCCCTTTTAACCTGCAAAAGAGAAACTAATGTTAAATACATTTGAGGAGTAAAATACAATATGTGGTTCCAAGTTGTATTAAAGTAGACAGATGGACACAGATGGACCTGATGCACAGGAAGTGGCTAGCACCCGTCTACTCGACACGTTCTCATCCTCATTATGAGAGCGGCTTCATTGTGCTGTGCCATCAGGCCTCAGAGTGTCTGCAGTCCCTCAGAGAGGTTGGCCCGCTGCAGGGGGTCACACTGGAGGAGGAGAGTGTCGCTTGGCTTCTTGTTTTAGAAGCTGATTTTCTGAGGTTGGAATTGGTGATGGGAAACACGTCGGGTCAGAATTAGATGTTCATTATTGCAGGAGGATCATTTATCAGCTGCTCCGCTCCACAAAGAGCAAAACCTCCCTCTTCTGTGATCCAATCTGACACATTTCATTTCTCTGACTGCAGTGGTGTAGAACATATTGACTTGTCTGCTGTACCTACGATGTTGAGATACTTACGTAATTCCATTTTTTTTCTACTGAAGCAACATAAGCTATTTATTTGCCTTTATACTTTTTATTATATTACTTATACAAGTTTCAAGGCTTTATTGTGATTTGTACATTAGTTACAGTGTATGCAATGAACAACTTAGGTCACAGGCTCCTCCAACAGTGCAACATGAACATACTGTATGTAGGACATAGAACAAATAAAACTGATGAAATAGTGCAAGAAGAGAGTATATAGTAAACTCCACTCCTGTACATTTATTGAAAAAATGAATAGTTTAGAAACAGATTTACAAACTCAATACAAAATAAAACCAACTAATAAACTATTATATATTATTATTTATAAATGTATCCAGCAGTACTTACTTAGAAATAAACTGCACCTATCATTTATGTTCTGTATTAAAACAATAACATCATCTGTATTATTCTAAAAAAAACAATAATATTTTTACTTTCGTATAAAATTATGTTTCCATGCTAATACTTTGTAACTGGTAAACTTTTAACATTGAAATGCGATATTAATATTGTATTTTATTTTTCACACATGCTGCTTAGCATCTTAGAATTCACAGTTCTATAGGGAATATATGTCATGTCGAATAAAGATACAATGTGATCTTATGCAGGAGTTATATAGTGTAGGTGAAAATAGGGTTTTCTAGTAATATTGAATGTTATAACGTTAATAACATTGAAATGCGATATTCATATTGTACTTTTCACACTGTCAATTGAACTTCTTCTACAGCGTATAATGGAACACTAACCACACATCCTTGTTCATGCTCCATGTGATCTTTATAAAAGAACTTTCTCATGAACACAAAGCATCCAGCTCCCGTACGTTCACATAAAAGTCAATACGTGGCGGTGCTGTGTTTACAGAGGTGGAGACGGGTGGGCTCTGGTCTCGTAGTGAACCTCCTCTCTTCCTTCCTGCAGGAACATCCGTCTCCATCCCGGACCCTCACCCCGGACCCTTATCCCGGCCCGCCCTCCACAACAATGAACTCCTCGCCACACGGCTCCCGCGCCTCCATCGACATCCTGGAGGAACTCCAGATGATTGCTGCTCAGAACCTGGAGAAACTGGACATGAACAAATACTATGAGGTGGTCTGTGAGCTGGGGAAGGGCACGTACGGGAAGGTGGACCTGGTCGTACACAAAATCAGAGGTAACTGTGTGTGTGTTGACGCTGAAGCTGATTCCAAATACTTCTTTTGATGTTCCTTTGAAATGAAGTGTTTTGAAGCTAGGCTTGGAAGGTGCATCACACCTTGGATTTCTCCACATGATTAATTAAAGGAATACTCACCCAAAAATATATCGTTTGTGTATCAATTACTCACCCCGTGTTACTTTGATCTTTTTCTCACATGCCTCCATGGCAAACAAAGAAGGAAACAACTGACAAAAGTGTTGTTCAGTGGAAGTAAATCGGGAAACAACAATATCAAAACTTCAGTTCTCCCATTCTTACATACTCACATACTTACTTAGTTACTTACTAACATAATTACTTAGTTACTTACTTATTCACTAACTTACATACTTACTTACTTACTTACTTTCTGACTTCCTTAATTACTTATTCACTTACATACTAATTTACATACTTACTTAGTTAGTTTCTTACTTACTTTCTTACATATTAACTTACATACTTACTTACTTATTTATTTACTTACTCATTCACTTATACTTACTAGTCAAATACAAAAAACATAGCATACACATAAGTAACATCCTACATATACATATTTATATACTTACCAATACTTACTTACTTACCTACTTACTTAAAGCCATATTTACTTCAATACCTACTTACTTGGTACCTGGAATTGAAGCATCAGCAAACAAAGAATACCATTTTTTACCGTTTTATCTTCCACAATCACTTATAAAAGCCCTTTCATGTTGTTTAAGTGTTTACTTTAGAAAAATACATTTGACGTAATTGTCCACATATGTAATGCAGTATTTTTGGCCTATATCTGAACTCAGATTGCTTAAATGTACTAATGGAAAATCTGTTCAACCTTTCCACATTAAAATCCCATGATGTCCTACTTTCTTTTTATGGAGCACAAAGCACATTTTGAAAGCAGCGGTAGTGTGTCACCGAGATGAGTTCTGACCTTTCCAGCCTGTGAAGTGTGGAGTTGAAACAACGTGCACCTGTGGTTTTACCTTCTGCTTTACTACTGAGATCTTCTCCATCAGAGAGCAGGTCTAATTGTCTGATGGTGCTCGGTTTAAATGTCAGGTTCACTATGGGGATAAATGGCCTGAAGGCAATATCGTTTCTGACCTTTTGAATCATAACTGTGTTAAAGTTTTAGTGTAGAGGGAAACTGAAATGTGAATCAGTCACAGTTAGAAATGGGGTTGTCCTTTAATATTCAGTTTCCTCTGCCAAATAAAATCCAATATTTAATTTGTCAGCATTTTATTTCAAACATATTTTGAATATTTTCTTTTCATTTTGATATTTTCAACTTTTACCTCATGCTACAGCTGCAGTAACACGACTTTATATCCGTTTTTTATACCTTCCTTTAATTGAGCCTTTTTCTCTAAAAGTATTTGTTCAATATTTGTACCGAGGGGAGTCAGTGTGGAAACATAGTATTCCTTTAAAGTTACTTCACAGTAAACCCGTGTCTCACAGTTAAAATACTACATTAAGAGTCCTTCATTGAATATGTTACCGACTTATTAGAAGTATGTACTAGAAGTGTTATTCAATGTAACATGTTAAATAAGTAACCAAATGTGGACAGAAAGATAAAAGCATACTGTTTTTATTTTGAAGAGTTGTTGTTTTGACAGTTAAGGGGCCGTGGGGTAGATTTGAAATGCAGATTATTTGTAGGTCCTGCCCTGAAACCCTCACAGTTTAGAGTCAGCTGAGTTCCTCGGAACATGTTTGTCCTCGTGCAAATGAGCCAGCAGGCTGACTTTCAGAAAACAACTCATCTTCCATGAAAACATGAAACGTCTGTAACACAAGCTGCTGCTTAGAGAATACAACATTATCTATTTGTTGTTTCAAATATTCTGTACTGTAAAAAATAGTATTGCCATGCGTCTTTTAGATATAGATAAATATGATGGCAAAGACACAATAACTCTCTACAAATAATAAAAAATGAAAAGATACAACTATAATTATATAATAATGTATTACAATTAATAAGTGTTAAAAATAACGTTATACTGTTGGTAACCATAACAAGAATATTAATATTACTTGTACGGCAATTATTATTTGACGCTTTCTGCAGGATTAGAGACTTAAAATAGATGATATTCTTACAGATGTTTTTATTTGATGCACAGCTCACAAAATGCACATTTTCTCGAGGTAAGTTGTGCATCACTTATGTAATTGGGACTTATTTTTCTTGTGTATAGTCTGGTCAACATTACAAAGCGTTATGAACAGACTCCGGACCTTTCCCAAAGGCTCTCTGTTGACCTGCACAGAGCGCTCTGCAGAGCTGAGCCGGTGCTATTGGAGACCCCTCCCCTCCCCTCTCTTCTCCTCTCCTCTTCTCTGACTGATGGTGCAGAGAGGCAGACGTGGCAGCGTTCCACCTTTTTATATTTTTTAGATTAGCTCTGTTCATTTCTCTCTTGTTGCAATAAAGTGTCTGCCAAGATGAGCCTCTGAACCTCACAAGACTACATTTGTTTTAGTGCATCACTTTTACATGATAGTGGTGTCAATTGATTGAATTGCATTAATCATAACGATGATTAAAGACACCTTTTTTTTTTTATTTGACACAAAAGTCCATTTGTCCTATACATGATCAAAGTTCAAGGACACTTAGATCTCAAGAATTACATTTCATTTGCAGATTTTACACAACTGTTATATATATAAAATGGTGGAGTGATGTCATATTGAACGTAATAATGTATTTAATGGTTCAACATCATTAAATACAGTCTCTTACATTTATACTGTTTAATATTTACAACACGACGTAAAATGCGGCATTGACACAAATTAAAGACGGAAATAATTAAGTACATTTATTGCACAAGATGCAAAATATAACAAAATAATATATAAAAGTAAATCGCTGACAGGGAACAACTTACTGCACAGTTAATAGTTTTACTTGAAATACCTACAAATAAATGTTGCTGATTCATACATAAATAAATGCAGGACTTTTATTTGTGTTAAAAATGTAGAAACCTTACTTTGTTAAAGTGTAAGCAGGTCACTCTATGCGGGAACATAGAGTCTGGAGGATTTGAAAAACGGCAGGATTGAACTCAGTGACGTGGGAGATTTTAATTATTCATCACATTTTGATCATTTTAATTAAGTTTCCTACTTGCAATTAGGCAGATGTGAAATAATTACCCTAGACAAATCTCATATGTATGAGAAACGAGGGAACGAGGATGGAGATTTATGGAGTTATGTAACATTCCTCTGTCCTCCTTTTTTATTTCTCAGGCACTAAAATGGCCCTGAAGTTTCTGAAGAGGAAGACGACAAAGCTGAAGAGTTTCCTGAGAGAGTACAGCATCTCCCTGTACCTATCGCCCTGCCCCTTCATCATCAACATGTACGGCATCGCCTTCGAGACCGACGAGTACTACATCTTCGCTCAGGAGTACGCGCTGGCAGGAGATCTGTTCGACATCATCCCTCCACAGGTGAGAGAAAGATTATAATGTATATGTTGTGTTCAGGGACACTTGCACTTTCCATCATGAATAAATGTCAAAAAAAGACGCTACTTATAACTAAAATCTTGTTGAAACATGTTTTTTTTTATGACCTTTAACAATAGTATTTATGACATACAGAACTGAATTCTGACTTTGTATACTAACCAAAGATTAGTTTTATGACAATTTGATAGACATTTCTGTATACTTTTATATGACATGCTGACTTTTTTAAAATAGTTTTTTGGGCAACCAGTCCCTTTATTCAAGTGACAGCTATGGTCCCGGGCGGGATTCGAACCCCGGTCCTCCGCTTGTCAACTCTACCAATTGAGCTATACGATGGCGTAAATCACATTCTACTTCTTTTTTTTTTACTAACTATTTTATTACTTTTTCTACATTTTTGACACAATATTCTATGGCTTTTTAAAAAAAAAAAAAGTACTTCTTCGCAATACTGGCTTTTTTTCTATACTGTGTTTGTTTTTTCTGATAAATTGAAAAATCTTTGGGATTTTTTTTATTCGAAAGACTATACTTTTTTTCTAAATATCATACTTTGACATTCTTTTAATATTTTCGACTCACTACTACACTATGACATTTTTAAAACCTTGTATCACATTATACTATGACTTTTTTCCTATACTGTGTTTGTTTTTACTGATCATTTCGTTATACTATATAATATGACAATTTCTTCAGTTTTTTCAAAATTCTATACCATGATAATTTTTTGGGAAAATGGACATACAATACTCATACTGATACCATGAGTTTTCTTCTGATATTTTGGACCAACCATACTGTTACGATTATTGTGTTATGTCACGTTTTGTATGTCTTGTTTTGGGTGTTTTGCTGTTCGTCATGTTTTCCTCTTGTATATTGTCTGGTCCTTCTTCCTGTGTTTTTCCTCCCTGTCGTTAGTTTCCCTGGTGTGTCTAATTGTCTGATTGTGTGATTGTGTTCACCTGTCGCCCTTGTGTTTCTCCTCCCCTGCCCGGCTGTTTCTCGTCTTGTGATTACCCCTCCCTGTATTTAGTCTTGTCTCTTCCTGTGTTCAGTGTGGGTTCGTCTTTTGTTTGTGAATGAGTTCACCGGTGAGTGTTCTGTTTTTTTCCCAAGTTATTTTCTTTTTATCCTTGAAATAAAGGTTAATCAGAGTTATCTGCATTTGGGTCCTGCTTCTTTCACTCAACCGTAACAGTACGAACCCACCAAATATGGGCCTAGCAGATCCTTTTGAGCAGGAGTTGTTGGATTTTACCTTTTCTTTGGCTACCTGCTCTGATCGATGGATGGGAGCGTCCGGGGTTCAGCAGTGAGAGGCTGCTCTGGCAGAGGCGCGCCAGATAACTATGGAGAAACCAGGCTTGGTGAGATTCTTACCTGGCTGGATTTTGGAGTTCCTCTCGGTGTGTTATCCCCTGCCTGCTAGCCTCAGGCATGCTAGCTCTCTGCCTCCCAATTCCCTTTATGACACCACATGCATCGGTGTGGTCCGTTTGGAGTCAATCCTTGCTTCTGCCCCAGCTCCTGCTCCTGTCCAGGAGCCGTTCTCTGGAACTTGTCTGGCTTTTGGAGGTCCACGAGCCTCCAAACGGCTCCTAAAAGAAGGAGTCGCAAGGCCAGGCTAGCAGCCCGAGCCCCAAGAGCCATGGTTCAGACCCAGTTCTGGCCCCAGCAGCCATGGCTCCAGACCCAGTTCTGGCCCCAGCAGCCATGGTCCCAGACCCAGTTCCGGCCCCAGCAGCCATGGTCCCAGACCCAGCTCTGGCCCCAGCTGCCATAGTCCCATCTCTAGTCCCATCTCTGGTCCCTTCTCTAGTCTCTTCTCAAGTCCTAACTCAAGTCCCTTCTCTAGTCCCTTCTCTGGTCCCCTCTCTAGTCTCTTCTCAAGTCCCAACACACATAACCATACAATGTAGGAGGATCATTAAGTTGTCAAGTTACCCGTAAAACACAATAACTCACAACCCTAAACAAGGTGTTTTACACTAAAAAAAACTCAAGCTTAACTAAGCCAACCAAGTAATGGATTTGTGTTAACAAACACGAAAGTTAACAAAAAGACACCCGTATACTATATGCCTAAAATTTTCGGGTAAATACCACAAGATAAACACACACACAACTGCACTCAGTACTAAGTGTAAGAAACATCCCACAGGAACAAAAAAACAAGAGCCACGCCACACACGAACACATGAACCTGACTTTACCACTAATAAAATCACAGATCCACACAAACAACATTATAAGTTGTAAAAGGGAATGAATTATAGTTCCGGTTGTTTAATAACAAAAATTTAAAATTTAACGATAGTCTACAAAACATGCTCAAATGAAAAAAATATATATCTCTCTCGACTTATGTAGTGTCCTTTCTTACCCCACACACCGAAGCAATCTCCGGAGTCTTACAAAATTTGGAACAACCCTACCCTTCTACCCACGAACCCCATACACCAAAAAATAAGAAAAAACAAGCGTAAGTATATTTACAAAGAGCATAAACCCATCCAATACCAAAAATAAATAACAGAAGTACGCCTACAAAAACAAACGAAACTACATAATTTTAAAGAAACTGCATAACTATTGCCACCGCACTCAAAAAAGACAAACAAAAAACTACAGCCTTTAACCGCTCAACCTACTGTACACTAAACATATACCCGAACCTCCACCTCCCCAAATTAAGAAAACGATGGAGATATTGTAGAACGGTATGATCTACAGAGACGAATCAGTTACCGTATAATATAGATATAATACCGTTACACAAATAATAGATGACTCGGGTAATCAAGCAAACTTACTTAAAACATATCACCTCACGGCCGAGATTTAAAGATAACCGTCACCGACTCACAACTCAAACGGTCGACCACACACACAAAAACACGCCAAAAACACACAAACCACTAAAAACGCCAACAACCAACCCAAAGGTCACAATACACACCAAACAGAATGCGGTAAAAAACAAAAAACAAACACACCTACCGCTCACACACCACACTGTTCCTACAGACACAACAAATGGTCCACTAAAAAACCCAAGCAGAAGAAACAGGTCAGTCCAGAATCACAGCGAAAAAACCTGAGAAGGACTTCCAGCTATAACACATACTACTCAAGGTCGAGGCAATACATCATAGGCTCACGCCCACGACGGACGAGTCTGTTATAGTGTCGAGTGAAAGTGTGCCCTAATATAAATTTACACCAAATACCACCAAGTACGTGAGCTCAAGTCAACAATAACTACTGAGCACTAATAAGCCAGTTCACCTTAAAGTAGAAAACATAACACGAGCAAACACAGAATAAAAGTAGCTAGAAATGACCGACAGATAAGTGAAAAAATGATTAACATACATTAAACACAAACAGCAGCTTACCGAGATTGAAACTTTACCTTAAACTCACTTCATTGTCAATTTGTTTCTTAGAGTGTTGGTTTGCGATGTGTATCATTTTTTGTATGCGAATCTGTTGTGACAAAAGTCACCCAAAGCACACCACAATTACCACGAGTATTTGCTTGTGGAAGGCGTTGGAGTAGTGTTTCTAGGAATAAGTCACACAAAGCACGACAAGGCTATAAAAGAGAAAGTGAAAACCGGTAAAAGGTGGGACCGAACTTTTGCGGGAGGTAACCTGAGGAAACAATGAAGGGACATTGTACACTAGTATACAGTCGAATATAAACTATCAGACATTTGTTACCCATGCAAACTGCCCAGGCCCCTTGTTCTCTCTTGTAGACAACTCGTCAAAATTTTTTTGGCTTCTGTAAATCACACGAATACACTATTGTCTAACACTTATAAATCTATATAATCCATATCCTATGCACCAGTCAAAAACACTGTATATTTATGTCCCCTCACTTTCTCGTCGCTCCCCCCTCCCGCTCAGAAAACCCGGGAGAGCCAAAGTCCAGCTCCAAATCCACACTTCATATCATCCCACCGCACCCGCTCGCTGCTAACCAGTAACACATATAACAACCCTCTGTTATAATATTCTACGGCAAGAAACACATGTAATTTCGTAACCTTTGTAGAGTGTCTTATTTGATACTTCGCCGAACCACAAACAAAAACCCCGTCACATAGAGAAAACCCAAACAACTATAAACCCGCGTATTACTCATACCTACGAGGATTTGTTCTATAAGAGTTTACCTTTGGTGACTTTGGATGTCGTTTGGTTTGGCGTTTGTGTCGGTTTTCGTGTTCAAAGTTTTACTTACTACAGCGCCGTAAATGTCCAACAAACATCAAAAAAAAAAAAAAAAACAAACCGTTTGAACACCTTTCACCTATCCCAAAACATATATAATTCCCAATGTACACAAAACACCGTCTAGAACAACCAAAAAGTTATTGGACTGTCCCCAAAACCACTAAAACTCAACACGTTCAATAAAACTAACCCACCTATCAGATTATATTAAAAGTAACAAAACTCAAAACAAAAAAAACCCACAACACTACACTGTTCAAAAAAGACGTTAATGTATGTCATCGTACAATGACATACGTAGAACGAGACATGTCGATAGAAAAGAAGTAACGGACTTTTTTTACGTGTCAAAAGGTAAAGGAATTATCAATGACAATAACGCTATCAAATATACCACTCGAAGGACTTCAACGACGGGAAAACCACGACCCATATATTACCAAAATAAGATACTTAGCTCGTGGCGATCACTCAGACAAAACTCCTCCACTTACCCCCTAAACCCCCCACCACTCACAACCAAACCACAAAAAACAAAAAAAAAAAACAAAACCTTCACAAAAATAAACCAAACCGACACCTACAAAGACCCACCACCACCACAAGGCTTGTTGTTATCACACTGAAAGTTTTAGAGAAAGAAGTCACGGTAGGGTGTTGTGTAGACAACAAAAGAAAAGGAAAAGGTGGTTCACAGAAACTTGGAGGTAACCCAAAAAACTGGAAAGTTCCACTATTCGGAAGGTCTCCAGGAAGACCCTTCCATCAGGTAACATGACTATTCCCGCGCCCCCCTTTCCTATATTTGTCGTAGGGATCTTTCAAAACTCCCGCAACCAAATCGAACTTATCGCTGTAATTTGAAAGAGGAACCTAAGTGTCAGCTTCGAACCTTGCTGACGGTGCTGTCCTCCCTGCTCTCTTCTTAGTCCCTCTTTACTCTTTTCTCCTCTTCTTGCTCTCCTCGGAACTACCACCCCAGCGCAGGGAAATGAAACCCTATCGACCTGGGCAGCCATAACGGCACTCACTCCAGCCTCTTCTTACTCTAATTGTACAGTGAATGGTGAACATTAGAGCTAGCGAGAAGGGGAAAGGTTGTGCGGCGTTCGCACACACGTTCTGCATGCAGGCGCGCGTGGACGGTGTGTTGGCCGGAAATTTAACGGCTCCCAAACGTCAGTGGACGGCTTTGCTGGCCTTGGAAGTAAGCAGACCGGCGCACGAGGTGCGTAAAGAACGACGTCACCAGTTAGAGTCAATCCGGTAAAAAAAATTATATTAGAGAAGGCCTCACCCCACAGACACACAGACTGTACGCGAACCTCCTTGAAAACTCTGCCTTTTCTGTCCCCAAACTTCTATGGCTATTATTTGGTGGAAAAGGTGCTGGTGGCATTCAGGAAAGGGTTCGTCTTTTAATCTTGAAAGGTCGAGTCCCTCCCTACCCAAGTTTCGTGGGTAACACCGGGTCATTCACGTAGTACCCCTGTTAGACAGGATAGAAACTGTCAACGTAGGCTAATTTTAGGGAGGGTGAGAGGTATATGCTAAAAGTCTCTATGTAAAGAAATGCACATACCGACTACGACGGGTACACCCTTTTTAGAGGTTATTAAATGTGACCCCTTTATAATTTTGGTAAAGTCATGACCGGGAAATCGTGTCCCGAACAACCTTACATTATACCCAAGTACAGGTCAAAATGCAATGTAGAGGGTTAAGTTTTTCTTTTACTCCGAACCCACGCCAACTATAGAAGGGCTAAGAGGAGGCACACCCTTACAAAGCCTACGTGATCTCTAGCGTTTACTCCCTCCTGGTCATTGCTGGTTTTGCCTCGTGATGAATTGTTAAATACCTTTTTGACGGGCTCGAACACATACTGAGAAAAGAAGATTAAAAAGTAAACAACATCCCTTGAATGTTGATTACACTTCGGGATAAGACAAGTTCACCGAATTTGATGGACTACTAACAAGGACACTAAAGAAAGTTGGAAACACCCGTTAGGTTAGATTGTAACCAGAGGTCTATAGTTTTACAAGTAAGAATAGGATACTTTCGAATGACTGCCTATTCTTCAAGAGAAAAAAAAAGGTTCTATCTCTTCGGGGAGTAAACACAAGATAAGGTTCAAGATGAATGGAAATCAGATTGGCAAGGTACAGGATTCGTAGTAGATGGTTTGTCAGAACCTCCCCGGACTGGATTTGTCCATTGTACACCTCAAGGTTGCGTAACTACAAGGTCGTTCGCCGGTCTCTTCTTCTTCTGGACAGGGTCAGGTTGTTCGGTTCAGGTGTACTGGAAAGTTTTTGTTACCGAAATGTTTACAAAAATCCTATTAACCATTACGTACAATGGGCACGAAACAATCTGGGATTCGGTTGTCTATCAAACATTACGACTCAATATGGCTTACATAAATAAACCGTACTTCTTTGTGAGACGGTTACCGTAACATCGTTGTACAATTAGTCTCTCTTTGACCCGTATAAGAAAGTCCAAAAAGATTTATAAGAATAGGTGGACTCTCAGAATTGTATTGCTTGTGGTAACGTCAAGTTTAAGTTGTCTAATTGACTCAGTTGATTGACTTCGGAAACGAGCTACACCAACAAACACCAACAAAAAACAAACAAATAAACCTCTCTAGCGGCTCAGAACATCCTCTCCCTAAACGTCTACCCTGTGAGTTCTCCCCTGAGCCAAACGCTCTCCCTTTGAACTCGTCTCATGAAACTTCTCCCTTGAGCTCGTCTCCTTGAGCTTGTCCTTGAACTTCTCCCCTGACCTCTCTTTGCTCTCCCTGCAGCTCTCCCCTTGAAACTCTCTTTGACCTCTCCCCTGATGTACCTCCCTGACCTCTTCTGTATCTCTACCCTGATCTCTTCCTCCCTGATCTTTCCCTGATCCCTTCACGTCTCCTCCGATGAACTCTACCCCCTGATCTCAACCATGAACTCTTCAGCTTATCTCGACTCTGACCTCTTCCCTGATCTCTTGCCCTGATCTCCTCCGCTGAAGCCTTCCCTGATTCCCCCTGAACCCTTCCCTGATTCTCCCTGATTCTCCCCTGAGCTCTTCTCTGATCTCTCCTCCTGGTCTTCTTCCCTTGATCTCTTCCTGAACCTCAATGCCTGGGAGCAGTTCTCTGATCTCTTCCCTGGTTCTTCCCTGATCTGCAACCATGAACTCTTCACTGATCTCCACGCCCTGACCTCTTCCCTGAATCTCCTCCCTGCAACCTTCCCTAATCTCCTGCCTGATCTCTGCCC